ACTGGACTGAAACTGGACTGTAACTGGACTGTAACTGGACTATGACTCCTTCACAGAGCTGCAGCTGTCAGTCACATCTATGAACACGTTCACGTGTAAAACAGAATTAAAATGAAAACAGAAACCAGATGTAGGATGAACGTGTTTGGGAGCAGAGATTATTCTGCAACCAGCCACCAGGGGGCGACACAGTAATAATGTGGGAACATTCAGATCTCTACTGCAGGTAGGAAACCGTCCAGCAGTCAGACTGAAGAATCAAAGTTAGTTTGAATAAATCAGGTGTTTGTTTGTTAAGCTGCAGGACGTTGGCTACACACAGTTTTGTTTCTCGGTCTCTAAAGTTAATCAGCCTTCAGGCCGTCGGCGTCGTTTTGGTTCTGAATGAAACGTTCCTGTGACCTGCAGGTGATCGAGGAGCTGAGCGTCGGAGCCGAGCTGGAGACTCACAGCTTCTCTTCTCTGAATCAGTCCGAGCAGCTGCTGTCCTGCAGGGTGAGACACCTCCAACATCCAAGTCTTACAGAAAAGTGCTCGGAACAGCTTCAGAGCTCCACGGCAGTGACTCTAACGTAACTTCCTGTTTCCAGTCCAGCACAGTTCAGACCGACTCTGACGACGAGGAGAAACCTTCAGCTCGCTGCAACAAACACAAAGGTACTGAAACAGCCCTCGTTAAACACAGACCTGAACACGCATCAGTCAGCATCAGTCGGGTTTTCAACAAGTTCTGCTTCTTTAAAACTCTGACGTTCATTCACTGATGAAACCAGGTGGATGGAAACAAGAAATTTATGTTTAACGCACAATAATATTTACAAAAGGTTGTGATATTTTCCTAGTTATTATCAGTCATGTAAGAAAACAGGTTAAACCCGTTGAGTGACGTCTGCCCTCTGCAGGCTTCCTGAACGTTCTGATGAACTGTCAGTGGCAGAACCTGCTGTGTCAGGTGGAGGCCGGCCTGCTCAACATGTTTGCAGAGGAGCAGCAGGAGGACGAGGAGGTGAAGAAGCAGCGGTCGCCTCAGTACACCGTCCAGCTCAGAGGCTGCGAGGTCCGAGCCGGGCCCGACACCGAGCACTCCTACAGGATCACACTGAGCATGCTCGGTGACCAGGTGGCCGTGCTGGAGGTGAGGATCGGCAGGTCATTCATCTCAGCTCACTTCTGGTTAGTTCTCACCTTGTCTTCCTTCAGGTGAGCAGCTCGGAGGAGAAGCAGCGATGGGTGAAGCTGCTGCAGGACGGAGCGGCCAGTCACGGTCGCCACGACAACGGCACACAGGAGCCCACAGGTGGCGCTCTCAGGTAAGTCCGAGGACGAACACATTGAAGCCTCTTGAATCAGCCTCCTGCACTCATGCTGTTCGTTTTCCCGCCTCAGAGGGCTTCAGACCCGCAGGTTTCCCACCTCCAACACCTACATGGACGACCCGTTCCACCTGAGCGGAACCAGCCGGGACCAGCCCATCTACTCCAACACCTCCATCCTGGAGCACATGGTACCGAACAACGCCAACATCACGTCTAGAACACACAAGCCTGGCTGTAGCTGAAGCATTAACGCTTCAGTTAGCGAAAAGTTATGAATTAAATGGGTTAGCTAACAGTAACAGCTAGCTAAAAGTTATTAATTAAACAGGTTAGCTACAAGTATCAGCTAAAAACTATTAATTAAATGGGTTAGCTAACAGTAACAAATAGTTAGCTAAACGTTATGAATTAAATGGGTTAGCTACAAGTAACAATTAGTGAAAAGTTAACCATTAAGCGGGTTAGCTCAAAGCAACAGATAGCTGAAGCTAATAGTTTGCTATTCACTTAAGAGTAATATATATTTAGGTAGCAAATAACTGAAAGTAATTGATTAAATCATTAGCTGAAATTTACAAAAAGTAAATGATTAAATGATTAAGGAAATAAATGAATAGTTTAAAGCAACTGATTACATTACATTTTAGTTCAAATATATTAAGTGTAAGTTAAGCTAAGGTCAGTTAAAATAATGAGTCGTTAGCTGGTCATTAGTAACAGAATGATGCGGTTGCTTTTCAGTGCAAGTTCAGATTCAAATGTAGGGTTTCACTATAAACAGTGAGCTTTGCAACACCAACGTGTTCCAATGAATGAGGACCAGCTGTTTAAAACTAAGAACTGGGAAAAGACGGGACACGAACTGGATCCTGGTCTCAGTGTTCCAGCTTCTCTGCACTCATCGTAGGAGACATTAAAACCTTTGTTGTCTCTTCAGCAGCTGCTTGTTTCTATGACGGTCTTTGATAAAGTTCCTTATTTTGCAGCTTCACAGCTCTCAGGATTCAGTTCGCTGCAGCTCAGTGTCGTCCAAAGGCTCAGT